TCCGTTGTCGTACAGCTGTTGAATAAGGCTGATGAATATTTGGGGTACGCCATAGTACTCAAGTAGTTTCCAAATGACTTCGCGACCAACGCTGCGCTGTGGAAGGCCTTCTCAAAGTCTATAAAGTTGAGGTAGAGGTTTGATTGCCATTCCATGTTTTGTTCTGTGATGATGATGCTTAGAGTTGCTATTTGGTCAGTACATGATTTTCCTTTCCTGAATTCAGCCTGTTCTGGTCGGAGTTCTGTATCCAGTGCGTCCTTTATTCCCTCCAGGATGATGCGACTCAGGATTTTACTCGGCGTAGACAGGAGCATGATTCCTTGTCAGTTTTTGCAAAGTCCTTCGCCCTTCTTTGGTAGTTTCACGAGGTAACCTTTCCTCCAGTCAGTAGGCACCTTTTCCTCCTTCCAGACGTTTTGCAATAATGGAGTGAGTCAGCATATCTGCTGTAGTCTCTGGGTCCGCTTTCAGTGAGTACTTCAGGGGGTATTCCATCTGGTCCAGCTGCTTTTCCAGCTTTCAGAAGCTTGATTGCATTCAAGACTTCAGCTTTCGTTGGAGGATTGATGTCAACTTGCAGTTGTGTACGTGCTGTTGTTGGTATTTCTGGACGGGTTGCAGGTGGTGGTCGGTTCAAGAGTCCTTTGAAGTGATTCGCCCATTGTTTAATCTGTCTTTCTTCCTCGGTAATTGGGTTCCCTTGGCTGTCTTTCATAGGTTTCACTTGTGTTGATCTCTTCCCGGATAGAGACTTGGTTATCTGATATAATGTCCTCAAGTCCCTTTTACCTGCTGCCTTCTCAGCTTCAATGGCCAGATTGTCTTTTATACTTCCTAGCACTCTTCTCCACTTCTTTGTCCAGTGCTATGTACGTTGAGCTCAGAGTCTCTTTCTCTTTTCCGTTTCTGCATTGGATCATGTTCTCTTTCACCATTCTCCTCTCCTCAATTAGCTTCCAAGTGTGCATTGAGAGGCATTCCTTGTCTTGTCTCTTCTTTCTTCCTAAAACCGTTGAACATGTTTCGTTGAAAATCACCTTCAGAGAGTTCCAGTGATCTTCCACGCATGATTCTTCAGTGATGTCACGTAGTGTTTCCTGCTTTGCTCTGACAGTTGCAGTGAAAGTGTCCTTCAGTTTTTGAGTGTTGAACTTGTGGCCTATCCCCAGCTATCCTCGAGACTTTTAGCTTCACTTTGAAAGTCCCTTGTACTAGATAGCGGTCTGAACCGGCATCTGCTTCTTTCCTCGATCCTGTGTCCAGTAGGCTCCGTCTCCACTTCCTTGAGATTGAAATGAAGTCTATCTGGTTTTTGGTGTTTCCATCTGGTGAAATTCATGTCGCTGAAGTGAACGTTTAGCAATGCATCGATTTCGATGAAGATTCGTAACGAAGTATATTCCTTAAACCGGATAACTACAGAAGTTCTATTCATTATTCAAAACTATAACATACAACATTTGACATCGAAACTCCATTAACATAGCGGCAAAGGAAAGTACTTTTTATGAGTTAACTAACATTATAAACATATTTATATCAGTAATTTCCTGCACATGATATCTGCATGTACGTCACTTCATTAGAAGATACAAAAGAACAACAACACCAGATGATACATTGAAGGAAAACACTAGTCGCCTATGAGGCTAACAAACAATGAACTGTACAAATTCAGCAGTGTGTTGGTTCGATACTAAAGAATGAAAAGCGAGGAACTCTGAACCTAGCTTTGTTGTTTATTAACCTTCATCAAGTGGCGAAACCGCAAGACTCACAACTCAGTCACTCAGTGTGGCAGTTAAAGAATAGAACAGTACATAACTCAGTTCGTCAACGAAACTATAATGGTTCCATTCTTTTCAAAGCTGCATACAAAGGATGAAAGCAAAAACAATTTCATGTCAAAAATATTACTGGTTTAAAGCCGTAGCAAATATCAGTCAGCAAGATTTTCGGCTTACAGGCAATAAACTACTGGCAACAGTTTTCTCCATCTGCATCTCTCCACTTCACGTCTGCATTCAAAAACACTGCATTGCAACCAGTAGTGTAGACATGAACAGAATCGCAACTACTCCAACAGTGATTTCATAGTCTAATCAAGCTAAGAGATAAATTCATCAACACTCGTAACACTAGAAATGGTTAGAAACACTCTACCTATATTGCTGAGCACTCAAAGATTACTGACAATCATTCACTTGCATGAGGAGTTAATATATTAGCTTGATTAGGTTTCTTAACCAGAAAAAAGCCGTATATTGATGAAAAAGTTGTATCAAGTTGATTGCATGACTTCTTAAATTTACAATAGACAATACCGCACGTTTTTTAGGAGCACAATAGTGTCATAGATTAATTAACTGATTTAATAATGTTGGATACTGAAGACAGAGACATTAAAGTAGCATGGTGTAAATGCATTGAGCATCAAATAAGGAACTGGAATCACTCAGAAAAACCTTAATCGAAAATGGATGTCCAACCTGATTCACCGATGAACGTGGGTGTGTCGAACAAACAATTGTAAACCTGGAATTCAAGGCAGATACAACTAGTGTGCTTTTACGGAGACCTCTGTCGACAGTGACTCCAAGAACCTTATTTGCTGCATACTCATCTAACACCCTCTCCACACAGGCTCTTATTCATCGAAACGTCAAAGACAAAACTCCACCCTTGGAAACTTCAATGTGTATTCACCGATTCACCTGTTCTCATGGAGCTTGCTACATAGGCCGTACCAGCAGGACATTGTCTAGACATGGTCATGAACACTTACCAGCATGATTATCAAAAGGACAATGTAGAACAGTCGACAGCTCAATTATGGAGCATAGTATCACTTCAAGTCATCCAGCACCATCAGAGACTTCATTCAGAGTCATACACAAAGTACGACAAAGCCATTCGACAGCATTTCGCCTACATCTTCTCCATGCAGCCAAACAAAGTCTGAGCAATCCTTAAGGAGAAACGTGAACTTTATGTTCAGAAACCCTTTATCCAACCTCTTCTACTACCATGAACCTAGTACTATTGCTTCTCTCTTCCTCCTTCTTTGTCTCCTTCAATAGTTGTATAATAAGCTCTATGTAATGCGTTTTACGTTTTTGCAACTCACTCTCAATATTTTGTCCTCTCGTCACTCACTAACTATTTCCAAACAATTATTCACCACTCAAATAATTAGCTGTCAACCCTCCCGGTTACGTAAGCGTGTACTTAATTTCCAACCATAGTTATTACTCATGCAATTTGATCTACTTTTTTGTTAGCTGCTAATGACTTTTGACCTCTGTTGTTAAACTAAATCGTATACATAACCACCCCCCTCCCCAAATAACTGCACAGCTCTGAAGTGAAGATACAAAAAGAGATCTCTTTGCTGTCCCATGTGTTCTGAGCTACCATCTGTTTATTTGGCGTAGTAAATGTGCATGCCACAATCGCCGTCGAAATTTTACTTACTTTTACGGGGAATGTAGGTGATACCTGAGGGCTATATATATTTTTAGTAGTCATATGAATGCTGGTACAGTATGATTGATAAGATTTTGAATTACAAATCGGAATCCGCGATAGAACACACTGATCTCAGTTATCTCAAGTGACCCGAAGTTCACCTGACAACATAGTGTTCTTTTAACAACGCTTTCGTGTGAACGGTCTTACAGCGTGTCCACAAGAGTTGGCAACTCTTCAGGTTTGACCAAATTCACTACTGTGCGATTTTTAATGTTGGAGTATATTGAGAATCTCTAATACATCAATGATTTTAAGCAGACAGATAAGTTCAGGTGGCTTTGTTTTACACATACCTTTAAAGTAATTAGTTCGACGTATTATCAGATAAAGTACATCTTTTCACAGTTTTGGCAAAATTAACAGTTTCTATGGACTTCTCCAATTATTTATCTGAAGGAGACTGGAAGAATGAAAGTACAGCTTATCATGTAGTACCGAAGCATGACCTGAAGTTGTTTTGTCATCTATTGATTAATCAAAACAAGATTATTCAAGAAACGGATATGAAAGAATTTCGTGTTATAAGCCAGTGAATTAAGTGACCACTCGGTAGTTTGCTAGAGCGGTATGTCAACACTCAATAAGCACTATATGATGATCAAATTTTAGAATGATGGAAGCATCAGGTCTCCGAACACGAATATCTTCATAACATTTATATCCCCAGTTGCAAACATGGTCAGCGGACTGAATTACCTGTCGGTTGTTAGGAATTCGACTGATTCAATGTAGATTCTGTAACAGACAGAAATAGTCTGAGCATACCGCTCAATCGACTTGCTAATGTGCAGCAGAAAGTAGCTTTATTTCGTCCGCCTAAATTTGTGAATTTCAAAGGGAAATGAACATTCCTCGACTGACGAAGAAAACTAACCAACTATTTGAGAAATTCTAAGCTTACTTTCTAGTATCAACATTAAAGTATTTACTAGCTGATTGTTTCTAGATGAATGTTACTCAGTCTGCCTGAAAAACGGGAACATAGAACGACCTCATGCATAAATGCAAATACGGCGCAGTGTGCAGAATAAAGTATGCAAACACTACACACTTTCGTGAGGGAACTTTCAAGGTGAGAATAATTCCTAATTCCAAACCCCACTCAATTATTTCACTGCTAAATAATTTTTATTTGTGCAATGATAACTTTGTGACAATGTTAACAATAATAATTAGCCGAATAATACCTCGTTTCGTATTATTATGACTACTATTCTCTACACTTTTACTTACTGTTGTTCAGCCAACTACTAGCAATCAACGCTCTATAACTAGATTCACCTTCTTCCATTAAGTGTGAAGCGAATGCAACAGTGTAGATTCATGGATAGAAAGTCAAGCAGTGTACTCTTTGCACAATCTTTACAGTAAATGACTGGATTAGAATCCTCAGCATAGGGAAATTAAATTATTAATGCGGTCTGTTGAGTACCACTAAATTACCTCTAACATAGCTCAATGATTACCGTCCACCCTCCTTAAACAAAAAAAAATACTATGCGAGTAGTACTGAGACATTTTTATTCACTATGCCTTAAGTTCTTGAAGAAATGTTACGGTGTGTCACCGACATATGTAAGTATTAGAAGTATGTAGCTAATACAACCATATATTAATTAGATATTATTATCATTTATAATATAAACTGAATATTTACAGAGTTTTATTATTGTGAATCAACCATATAACTCGTGAAGTTAGAGCTTTTCACATTCTTATCATTATGAAATAGAAGACAAAAAACCGGTAAGAAGACACGTAAAGAAAAATGTTTCCAAGACATTCACATTCTTGATACATTGGGAAAAAAAAGATAATGGTAATAGAATAAAGGAAAGACCCTCTGGCACGTCATTCTTTTCATTCAAGATAAAAAAAGAACAAATTCACATAAAGAAGAAATCGTTGTTCAGTTCACCAAAAATTCCAGCGAGGTGTAGTATGCAACCCACAAAAAGATATAGGAGAGACTATTGAGAACAGATAAAAGTGAAGCTCTGAATAAACGTAAAATCAAAAAGACAACGAAGTAGGGATGCAGTAGTATAGAAAAAAAACAATCTGATAAATATGTTCGCATACATATATATATATATATATATAAACGGCGCTATGTATGAATTAGAAAAGTGTCGTAAAAAAATGAGCATTTCAGTGGAAAATAGTTGTACCTGCCTATGTAAGAAAACTTTGTGGAAGAATAAATGCAAGACAATATACAGACATTTATGCATTGCCTAACTGTTTTTTCTTTCTTATGTATAAATACCTCCACCCAGCAATCAACTAGTAAAAAACTATCAATACCTCATCATCAACAAGGAAGGCACGTAATATTCTAACACAAACCGGGAGAAAATTATAATGAGTCCACTTCCAACTCAAGATGTGTTTAATCATAAGCACAGAAAGGTTTTACACTTACGTGAACCTGTATGCATAGGGGGTTGAAGTACAAAATAGCTTAAGCAATCATTGCACACACAGACAAAAAAATCAAAAAGCACTTGAAACGAACTAGTAGCAAGAAAAAGGCATAGGTGGAATTCTGAGGGAATTGAGTCATTTCAGAGTATTAAGAAAAGAGATGATCTAAGGTGCAAAATGTTGCTTTATATCGTGATTTTTGAACCGGGTTAGTAGGAACCCCTGGAAAGTGAGAGGTAATTTCCTATATTATTTGTTTACACTCAGATTTTGTAAAGGCAATTTTGTGTCTGTGTGGGTGACACTGGAAAATGAAACAGAGAAATGATGAAAATGGGAAACAATAGCAACAGTATATATACGTCAGTGTCGAATGGTAGAAAAATAGACACTGTTCTCAAGATTGGAAAAAATTGTTCCTCTACTGACAGTGATAATGTGAACAATGAAAGCAAAATATCTAAATATAAAAAGGCGCACAAAGTATCGCTAACAAAACAGCCTTATGATCATTATCAGAAGTAAAAGCAAAAAGAAAATCAACACTCTGGGCTAGGTAATACAACATAACTGAAAAAGTCACAAGACTGGTATACCAAGATAACGATGACTTATAAGAGAAAATGAGACGAGAATAATAGAACCGATGAATACATATATAAGAGAATGGGGGTCAGATTGAAGGATAGGAAAAACTTTGGATGACAAATCGACTTATGTGTGAATAAGTGATTCGTGTGTACTTCCAACATAAAAAGAGTAGAAAACCAAAAAGAATTTATGGAAATCGTTATGACAAAAAAATGAGAAAAACATGGCCAACAAATGAAATGCCATTTCGAAAACCAATAAGCCGAAAATGTTGCAATAGGAAAAGTGACGAATTTTTTTTAAAAAAAACCATATCTCTGGGTTTCTGTGATGTCCAGTTCAGTAAAGAACCAACTATATTAACAACAGTTAATCTCATGAGTCTTCATGCGAAATGCGGTTACGGTGTATCTGAAAGTTCTGGCTTCATTGGGGTATTTTGGTTGGGGGTTGTCTGTTGTGGTGGAGTTGGATGCTGTTGCGTGGTTGGTGATTGAAACAGGAATGAAAATCGATATAATTCAGCTTTGAGACTAGGATACGAAGTAGCTAGAACCTCCATATGAAGTCTTAGACGCTCGCCTTCGGATCTGTAGCGTGCAAGTGTGTCTTCCAATCTCCTTACCTGAGCATCACGTTCAGCCACTTGACTTTCTAATGCCTTGATGAGTGACAATTTTCGTTCTCGACAACGACGTGCGGCAACACGATTACGAGCACGTTTCCTTTCTAGTTTTAGATGATGCTGCTCAACTTCATCCAAAGATGATACAGGAGTATTACCTCTAACTCCTCGACCTGTCCCAGTACTGAGTGATTCTGATTGATCGCTAGCATCCTCCAGTTCCCGCCAACCAATGATTCAGAGTTGAAAACGAAGCAATTGGAGGAATTTGTAAGATATGACTGCTGACTGACAGTTGTGTAACTATCACTGCAACCAGTATTCGGCATTTTACTGGCTGTAACAGAATTTGCGCGTCCTACTAGGTTACGTAAATGTTTCGCACTGCCTGGGATAGAAATATTGTCAGTACTGCTATCGCAAACAGTTGCTTGGTATGAAATGGCATCTGATGTGAGTGTACGTGACCTTTTCTCCAAAAAACCCTGACGTTTGGGCTTTTTTAGAAATGAATGAGTGACCAATGACAGAGGTTGAGCAGGAAAAGTATTTAGGCAACTGGTCACCGGTGGGAAAGAAGATCTCTCAACAGCTTCGGATCTACAGCTGGGTAACTGTTGAAAATAAGCGTTGCCCTGATCTTGTCCGTCATTGTTTTTATTACGCAGAAGCGAAGAAACTGGTGTGAGATTAAAATGGGAACTGGTCGTCACTTGTTTTAAATCAGTGGTGGTAATTCCAGGTGATGTCAAACTCTCTAACATATGCGCATCCATAAAAGTTTCACACACAGAATTAACACATGGATTTGATTGCCTGGTAGTTGCAAAAGGAGCATTCGATTGAATTAAGTGTGACGAAGGCCCATGTGATTTATCCACTTCACTTAATGCAAGAGAAAAGTGGTTACCCAAACTGCGATACATCCCATCGAACTGCTGACTAAGTGAACTGCCACTATCAGCTATTCCATTTGTGTGCTTGGCAAGTGAAATGAAAAACCAATGGAGTTAGTTAGGTCTAAATACGTTTATATAGATAAGGAAATAATGTTAACATAAAATGATAACTGATGGAATATTTCTGTTAAACAATCAAAAATGAATCTGATAAATTTATCAGGCTTGAAGGTTCTCATCGTTATTGATTAAGCCGTATATGTAAGCATTCTTGTAATCCGAACATACTGCCACAAAAAAGCCGTATATGCTGCTCATTTTGCACTATGAGTACATATACAATGAATCGATAATGGAGGGAAATCAGTTTAAGATGCTTAGCCATCAGCTAACAGAACTCTAAGTCTGACCGTCATCTAGCACAAACACTGATCTTACTGAAATGCGACACTACAGAAAAAGACACTGTACCTTCGTGAAAAGGTTTGATTGAGGTACATCATGTATGAGCTTACCTTGAAGATCGTTTATGCTGCAAATGAAGAATGAATAGAAAGTATCATAATAACAAATAATCAAGGGTTCGTTTTACTGTGCACCTGAGCAAGTATAAGCTGATAGACCTTGCACACGCATTCCGTTAGTGACCCCATTTATGGTGACGAAAGGCATCACAGATAAAAGAACCATTAACCTATTTCATCTAGCGTTTATCTATCACTAATAACAAACTATTAGGTAACTTTGCAGTAAGTGTATCACTTTAAATTGGAACACTTTACAAGCTATAGAAAGCAGTAGATAAAAACCAGTCTGACATGGGGATATAATTAAAAATACACATTGCAAACAATAGTGAAAACATACAGGTCACAGTGGTTGAATTTATATTATATCACTGGAGGACTATAGCCAAGCGACCTATACTTGCCCACACACCTAAGCGCAATAATGATTGATTTCATCAACCACTAACGTATCTTTCTTCAATCAGATAACTCCAACTTTCTTAAAAATTAATTCTTTTTCAGCCGGGAATGACCGATAAACTTGGCTAACTTGAATAAGTGACTACGTCTAAGATCCACATTAGTCACTCTGTGGTCTAAAGAGAGCAATGCAACAGAACGATCAGTATAAAAGTAGCTAACCAATTGCTTCCCACCTTTGAAAATCTCATCACACAGTCTTAGAACTGGCAACAACAAAATACTACGAAGTTAACCGAATATCGAAGTGCATATGAGGACGAAACAATTTGGCAAATAATAAGGTGGCTTTTATTTTTTCATTACTGAGATTTTACCAATTACGAATTTCCAAACAAGAAATATTCAGTGGATTATATCACTCTACTCAATAATAATTAAAATAAGAAATTCTGCTGCTGATCAATGCTGTGTTTGATTACGATAAAGCACTTGCAGATATTAAGATTTTCTTCATTATCCACTAAAAAAAGTCTACAGTATGTCTGCGTATGTTTGACGAAATTACACTGTGAACTGTAGACCAAATAGTCCTTGATAGTAGCGAGTCAACTTCTGTGACACTCGATATTCCTGATTACCTTCACTTCCGACTGAAACTTTATAAGGCAGTAGGACAGAATATTTCTTTAAAATGCAAACAAAAGACCGGAGATAACATAACCGAATAATGTGATATAATTGAGGGCATTTTCGATGTTGAACACAACTTGAAATGCGATCTAGTCAAATACGTCACAGAGAACAAAATGGGTACATGAATACACAATTTAGGAAAGTAATCATTGGTCACCCACTAGGAGGAGTCACAAGTAGAGATAATGAACTAGTGAAAAAATTCTCATAGAATGATAGCTTTGAAATTAAATGCTTAATACTTTTTAATTCACTCTCAGAACATGTTAACACTTTATTACTAGCAATTGTTAAGCTTCAACTATAGTTATAAACATAAGTTTCAAAATGATGCAGATAGAACACCTAAAGCGCAATTCACAAAACTGTGGTCATAACGCTTTACATATGATGTTAACGTTTAAGTAACTTAACTTACAGAATCAACAGCATGTGGCTGATGTATTTCATTTCTATTCAACATGCTATCGCCATTAGGAATACCTGAAGATGCAGGTGATTGACTAGCAACGGGATCTGGATTCTTATGATTACCTAACAAGTGATTTGAGCAACCCCTACGTGTATTCGATTGATGTCCAACATATAGATGAATGGAAGTTTTCTGTGTATTTGCACTACATACATTGATGTCACTTGAATCTAATGACGCAGGAACAGGTGTTAAAATTCTGCATTCCTCTACACTGGATAAAGTTGGATGAGCAGAAGAGTAAAGTTCATTGAGGGCTTTACTGATACCCAGATCAGAAGAATCATTTGAGCACATTCCAGAATTTGATGAAGATGCTACTAAACTATCAACAAGACCATCGTCACATGAATCATTCAATTGAACACCACTGTGATTGTCCTGAACTGCATAATGAATAAGAACATTATCGTTTTGTGGTTCAGTTTTGCTTGGTTTCAGAATTTGTAATTTCTGTGATCTGTGAATACCATCATTACTTCCGTCACATAAAATATTTTCATTTAAAGCCAAAACATTTTCAGCCATTTCATGGGAATAATCTGAATTATCGAAACGCGAATTATTAGGAATCACATTCAGATCCGAACAAAATTCTGTGGGGATGTGATCTCGATCCGTAACAGCTTGTTTTAAACCATTAGCGATAGATGAAATAGTAGGTAAACTGGATACCCAAGGAGCCTCAGCACTTGTTTTATGGATATTATTATGAATTGTATTAGATGGATTCAGAATATTGGGGTAATAATTTTCTTGGAATGGATCAGAAGTGGAGCTAAATAAAGAACAGAAATTTGCCGTGAAATATAAAACTTGGAAAAAGAAAGATTTATCTATTAAGTTTTGTGAGATGTAGCGCGGTATAAATTACTCCCAGCTTACGATAGATAAACATGACTGAAACCGAATAAGTGGTATTTGTGCCCACAATATGACGAGGAGTAGATTTTCTTCCTGTCCGTCGACTTCTTTAGAATCTTCATGAGGACTAGCAGGTCTGCACCCAATTGGATACATCAATATACCTTATTTACTGTATATGTTATATCTGCTTTTTTCCACCAAAAATTCAATAATGACAGGTTCAAAGGTGATGATAAGAAGGGCATTTATTAAACTTCTTTGCAAATGGATAATGTCAGAACTAATTTTAGCAGTGTTACCATTGTACAGAACACAAAGCAAAAACGATAGCAATGATATTTACTTAATTGCTGTGATCGAATTAAATGGTAAGAGGCCTCGAATTGCAACAAAAATTGTGACAGTATTAAATGGTTATTTCATCACTGAGCTGCATAGCTTCATTATTACCAGATTAGTGTTCCTTAGTGAAAGTAAACCACCTAGCATCCAATGAAACACAGCACAATGAATGAACTGAGTAGCAGCTATGTTGGGACTAATACACTTGACTATTAGGTCGATTAATATATCGACTTTGAAAGCGAGAATTATCGCCTATGATAATAGTTCTGTACTCAATTGATTCAATTTTATATGATACTCCTCATAATAATACTAGAATCTAAAGATTTTTTATCTAACAGCAGGCTGATTGTGGTGCCAATATTACAGTTAACGTTGCTGCATAATAATAAACAGCTCGTGACAGAAAAATCATTAGAACAACAATTTTCTACACCTTTTTTCTTCTCTCAAAAAAGAAGAGCCAAATTCAATAGAAGCGCTCGTGCACGCACACAGACGACGTACATGTGACACTGCAAAAAATCCTCGTGATCAAAATCATTCTCCGAATAAATGAACTGAAGAACAAACTAGACTGTAGTCTTTTCTTCCAATAAACTATTATTAATATTTTCTCACTGTAAGTGAAAATAAAACGTATACGAAATACTAAAATTATGCACTACCCAAGAGGTAACTGATTTGAACAATGGTTATTTTCCGACAATATAAGAGAATTCCTTTTTTTGAATATCACAACTATCAGTACGTATATACGCAAACAAATAAACGAAATGCAGCGAATGTCAGTGTGTAATTTGATAAGATAATGAAAACTTAGTAGTGAAATATGTAATGAACAGTAAACCCAGTGATACACAACACAACTTTATTTTAATTTTAAATAAGTTGCCGCAAAAGACTTTGCGTATGGACTACTATCTAATGTTAGACATCACTACTACAGTAGATAGTAAGTGTTACTAAAGACAGTAATCCATACCCATCAAATATAACGTTTCATACCTTAGTATAATTGGAATTGGAATTTAAAGTCGCGGTGTGTCTGCGATTAGGAATCAGACAACAGTTAGCCTTATGAACTGAATGGTTCGTGAACGTAGAACTTCACACAAAATTATCAAGCCAAGTTCCCATACTTCAGAAAAGCATACATAAAAGTAAAAAACAAATTTAATTACACTACAGTGGACAAAGATGTCCGGGACAGGATAATTAAATGAAGATTACTGTAAAGTTTCATCATCTAGATGATGGCGAAGAGTGAATACACACCTACGCCATTGTAAACTATATTGAATAATATCTCCAGATACTTCAGTCACTGGCTTTCAGCATCCTAATGAGCCTGGCCAAGTAATCTATATCTTCCTACGTGTCTTAAGTTAACAACTAAAGAATGTATAGAGTGGTGCTATTTTATTGTCGCCTCATGTCAAATGTATCGATTAAGTTCACTCCTATATATCATTATCACCCCACTTTCACATTAGTGTAATTAATTTTATCAGAATTGTTACATTCTAGCTGGTGACTTTAACGCTCAAGTAGGGAAATTGTGTCAATCTGAGAAGGATGTCGGTGGCACCTATGGAGTTCCGTGCCAGCGAACCGACAACGGTGACCGTCTCCTACAGTTCTGCTCTGATAATCATTTGTTTCTTGCAAGCACTAACTTCAAACACAAGGAGAGACACTGTTTGACTTGGAGACCCCCTTCATCAAACCAACGCTGGACACAAATAGACCACATAGCAATAAGCTATCGTTGGCGTGGGTCGGTAGGAGATTGTCGCTCCTTCTGGAACACGTGCGTAGATACCGACCATGCACTGGTCCGCGCTCGGGTGTGCTTACGACTGAACGGACGTAGGAAACAGCTGGCGGTAAAACCATCACGTCCCCAGCTCGATCAGGAAACTAAATCCGTATTTGAGGAAGAACTAGCTAAACACATATCTGTGTTCGACAGCTGTGCTCACCCTGAAGAAGCTTGGAAAAATATCCAGGCAGCCATAGATACAGCTGTAAAAGCTGTGAATAAGGTAAACCCAAAGGTGAGTAAAAACCACTGGATCTCCACCGCCTCATCCGAACTGATAGATGCTAGAAGACTTATTCCGGCGAGCTCCGAATTCAATGAGGAGCGAAAGCTGCACAAGAGGAAACTTACGAAAAGTCTCCGCAAGGACCGTGAACAGTGGTGGGCGACAAAAGCCAAAGAGATGGAGAAAGCTTTGAGGATAGGCAACACCAGGCAACTCTTTGGACTCATCAGGGAAACGGGTGGGAGAAGACAAATCATTAGTGAGACAATCTCGGAAAAAAATGGCACTATAATTAGCTCACAGGATAGACGACTGGATCGTTGGAAAGAGCATTATGAGGAGCAGTTTAATTTGCCCACAGCCACGCTCAACCTTCCGAGCATCCAACACCTCCCTGAATGGGATATAGATACAGGTCCTCCGTCACTAACTGAGGTTACTAAAGCTGTCACCAATCTGAAACTAGGCAAAGCAGCGGGACCTGATGGAATGACGCCAGAGGTATTTAAGTACGGTGGAGACAGCTTACTGTCCGGATTAACTGAGGTACTAGGCAGCGTTTGGGAATCAGAAGAAGTCCCATCGGGTTGGTGTAAGTCACTGATTATCCCCATATACAAGAAGGGAGACAAGTCTTCCTGTGATAATCACAGAGGGATTAGCTTGACTAATATAGTATCTAAAGTCTTAGGCTCAATAATCATGCGTAGACTGAGTGGTGCTCGGGAAGCACAAACACGAGAGAGCCAGGCAGGCTTTAGACCAGGAAGAGGGTGTATTGATCATATCTTCACCCTCCGACAGATTCTAGAACATAGGCATTCCTACCGGCGTCCAACAGTCATTATATTTCTTGACCTAAAGGCAGCATTCGACTCTGTCGATCGGGAAGTTCTCTGGAGATGCTTGGCTGTAAAGGGAATTCCAAGAAAATATATTGCACTGATTAAGGCACTCTACTCGTACTCATACAGCCAGGTGAGGGCTTACGGCGAGCTGTCATCTGAACTGATGACGACCAGTGGTGTCCGTCAAGGATGCCCATTATCTCCTTTTCTATTCAACTTCATCATAGATGTGTTAATGGACTTAACCCTAGGTGACTTCAGCGACTCAGGGATTGACTTGCTACCGGGGAATAATCTCGTTGACTTGGAATATGCAGACGATATAGTCCTTCTAGGCGAAGACGCTGACGAAATGCAGAGTCTTCTAAACACCTTGAACAGCAATCTACGAATGTTTGGCATGCGATTCGCTCCCGCCAAATGCAAGATGATGTTACAGGACTGGACTACATCGACGCCTAGTTTAAAAATAGGAAGTGAAGTGGTAGAGCACGTTGACCGCTTCACTTATTTGGGAAGTACCATCAGCCCCAACGGGCTGATCTCTGACGAAATCTCAGCACGAATACAAGGGGCTCGTTTCGCATTTGTTAGTTTACGCCGACTCTGGCGTAGACGAGATGTTCGACTATCGACCAAAGGGCGGGTGTACTGCTCATCAGTCCGCTCCGTCCTCCTTTATGGTTGTGAGACCTGGCCACTGAGAGTGGAAGACATGAAAAGACTAGCTGTCTTTGATCATAGGTGCCTGCGTTCTATTTCCCGTGTAAAGTGGCATAATAAGGTGAGCAACATGGAGGTTAGGCGTAGAGTTCTAGGTAAACAGGGGAAATCAATCGACGAAGTCGTGAAATTCCATCGACTGAGATGGTTAGGACATGTGTTACGTATGCCAAGCCATCGCCTCCCTCGACGAGCAATGTTAGCGGATATAGGGTCAGGCTGGAAAAAAGCTAGCGGCGGTCAAACAAAAACTTGGCATCAGTCAATGAAATCCACAACAGTTGGTCTAAGCCACGTAGGAAGGTGTAGACTTCCAGGCTGGGGTCCTCGGGACGGTAAAAATCTATGGTTGGAAACAATTGGTGACATGGCTCAAAATCGTTCTCAGTGGCGCAGATGCATCCACTCCCTGTGACTTATGATCTTCAATGAAACTGTTTTGTATTTCTTTATTACTCCTTTGTCTCACACCTCTGCTCACTGTTTCTATTATGCTTTTCTTGTACTTTCTTCTCTTGCTTCGCGTGCTACACGGAATGTGGCGACTTGAACTTCCGCACATTTGTGCAAAGTTCTATGTCGAAAACAGACAGACAGACAGAATTGTTACTACAATAAGAACGAATTAGTAAGGATTATATTGTAGCCAAAATTACGGTAATGAAATATACTTCTTGCCTAACAAGTGGAAATACGTTTCATGAAAGAGTACTTCTTAAACATATATGCTTGGTAAATTACATTCACGGACATTCGTCTTCGAATCCGAATATATACAGAACTATACTGCAAGATATCTACAGGCGTTTGTGTCAGTCAAGAACCTTCGCTTTATTTAAAATAAATATAACGGAGAAATACATGTTTCTTCAACTAACTCCGCAGGGATTGATACTCTATACAATTCATTTAACTTGTAGGACATATGATAAGGTTCTGTTAAATACCATGACAAGAATCTCCTGGATACCTGAACTGGCAATTTAAAAAGTTTAAAACGCGTTTTACATCTCTTAAACGTAAAATGTTGATTTTGCAGTGATGTATAGGGATATACAAATTTGCCTACAGGAGAGAATTTGTTGTACCAGACATTCTACTTAGCTACGAAATCACTGACGCTACAGTGGATTAATGGCGGACGAGAACAGGCTTGTTTGCCTTCGCTAAATCGAGCCACATGACGTTCAACCACCCAAAGAAGTCGATTATACTAAGTTGCGTAGTTATGAAATCTGCTTGATAGAATTAGTACACCCGTAGAAGCTAGGGTTATTTTACCGATACCTGACCTGCCCACTACATGATCTTGGCGTAATCTCAGTTAAGACTAATAAATCTATCGAGAGATTTACACATCTCTATCTTTTGAAATAGCTGAGTTGAGTGTCACAATTTCCAATCACCATTTATCTTAGCACGAAAGGTTAACGGAAAGGAAACTAGCTTAGGCAGAAACGAAATTCATGGTGCCATTAGTCACTGATATGCGTCGTACATGGAATTCCAGGTCTTATGACTGGTGTTCTAACTGTAATTAGAGACCGTAGGTAATATGGCTCATATGCATATATATATATATATATATATATGTAATACTAAAATCTACCTTTCCTTCGTATAGCTCTATATTAGCTCCGAATAAACTGCTCCTAATGATTTGCCATCTTTTATCTTCACAAAGATGTAGCAACTTGGACCATTAGTTAATGATTGTCTGTCAGTTGGTGGGTTAGACATGTGGCTGACTTGACTCAAAACCAACAAAAATGTTCCAAAAAACTCATCAAATGAATTTACTAGCTTAAGTAAAACTGCTCTATCGAATAACTTACGAACTACATTCAGATAGTTTCCTGTGTTTTTGTGTTCCATTTACACCAGAATGCTCTTTTGAGTGAGTCACGCTTGATGTAGCCGAAAGCAAAACCAATGGTTCACCACTGAAATTCGGTGAATGAACTCTAGAGGAATTAGGAAGATGTAGAGGAAGATCAATTTGGTCACATTTTGACTCTGCTGAATTACATCTATCAGTAGTTGTGGTATAATTGTCAATAAACGGAGAAGAGGCACTTTGATTTAACTGGATTTGTTTAGCGAATATGGAATTTGTTTCTTTAAGATCACCATCCAATGACGAATTTGAAATTGCAGACCATCCTTCCTGTTCTGCTCTGAATTTATTCAACGTCCGGGAGAAATTACTGAAATGCAAGATCAGACAAATCGGCATGACTTACATGTGCACACAACTTACCACTTAACCTTTCCGAAATATTAGAGGTATTACGCTGCATCCCCAACTAACACTCTCTCCACACAGGCTCTTATTCATCGAAACGTCAAAGACAAAACTCCACCCTTGGAAACTTCAATGTGTATTCACCGATTCACCTGTTCTCATGGGGCTTGCTACATAGGCCGTACCAGCAGGACATTGTCTAGACATGGTCATGAACACTTACCAGCATGATTATCAAAAGGACAATGTAGAACAGTCGACAGCTCAATTATGGAGCATAGTATCACTTCAAGTCATCCAGCACCATCAGAGACTTCATTCAGAGTCATACACAAAGTACGACAAAGCCATTCGACAGCATTTCGCCTACATCTTCTCCATGCAGCCAAACAAAGTCTGAGCAATCCTTAAGGAGAAACGTGAACTTTATGTTCAGAAACCCTTTATCCAACCTCTTCTACTACCATGAACCTAGTACTATTGCTTCTCTCTTCCTCCTTCTTTGTCTCCTTCAATAGTTGTATAATAAGCTCTATGTAATGCGTTTTACGTTTTTGCAACTCACTCTCAATATTTTGTCCTCTCGTCACTCACTAACTATTTCCAAACAATTATTCACCACTCAAATAATTAGCTGTCAACCCTCCCGGTTACGTAAGCGTGTACTTAATTTCCAACCATAGTTATTACTCATTCAATTTACCGTCTTACTTGAGTTTCCTCTAGATGGATGAAATCTAAAAAAACTGAATAATAATTGCATCTTTTCAAGTATTGGTTTTTGTAGGGATTTTGTTTGATTGCATGGAGGATTTAATCATGAGCTGACATCAGTTAGAGAACCACTGGAAAACCTGGGAGTACTGGACAGCTGTTTCGTCCTAGTTTGGGACTCCTCAGCAGTACGCACCCACCGGGAGCTCGCCGTGTAACCAGAAGGTCCTGGGTTCGAATCCCGGCGGGTGCGTACTGCTGAGGAGTCCCGAACTAGGACGAAACAGCTGCCCAGTACTCCCAGGTTTTCCAGTGGTTCTCTAACTGATGTCAGCTCATGATTAAATCCTCCATGCAATAATTGCATCGTTTATAACCTACATAGAAATGCTGACTGACTGACCAATCTTAGTTAGTTACTGCTGCCTGTTCTTGAATTTATCACAGAAAACAATCGCAGTAGTAAATCAAGAATAAACACACGAATCAACCACGTGAACGACCATTATTCATTGGTTCCCAGTAATAGAAATTAACTGACGCTTGACGCTTTGTAATTGGTGCTGAGAGACGCAAGGACATGGCTACAGTAATCGACAAGATCATATATCCATTAGCGTCAGCATGTGGAAGCGGGATTTAAAAAATAAAAGTCAAGATTGGAAACAATGTCAAATACTATAAAAATCTCTGTCATAGAGGGAAAATGAAATCAATAAAGAGAAGCCGGGATTTCCAGAATCTAGAATAAAAGAGAAAATGAATTTACTGCAATTTTTCGCATTTTTTAAGGAAGATTTCCAAACACCTTTTTCGGCCACTTTGCATATTATAATCGGGAAGTCTATATCTTCTAATATAACCCCAGATATAATCAGACTGCAGGTTTCTATTTGTAATCGTTCGATAACTATGTTGATTTTTACCTACTACCTAACAATATTTGAACAGCTGAGCACCTATTTAGTTAAGGCTGATGACATCCAAAATCGTGACTGTAGTAAGCACAAGCTAAGCATAACTAATATCGCCGTTAATTTAATTATCTGTTTAGTCTCCGCTTGAGTATGAAGTCACTTGTTACAGTAATTTCTTGGCTTCGATCCTCACGTGGCAGCGCTAAGCAATTGAAATTACGCATGTTTCATGCAATTAAAGCGTGGCTCAAAGTCAAGTATTGACGAAGCCTTAAGCCAGTGAATAAGTTGCACAATTAGTTTCCTTACAAATAAGAAGTACGATTAACCGCCACATATGATGATTATTTTAACATTAAGGCCGACCGTAAACATTTGAGTAAATTCGTTTCAATGTGTATTGACACTATGACAGAAAAGTATTACTGCCCTCAGATGAGTGGTAATGGTGGAGGCTAATAAAGAATGGGAAAAACAGATAAAATGTAACAACTACGAGGATTGTTGACGAAAATATGTGATGTCCTGCAGCTACTTGCTGATTGGTTGATGTTTCCAAGTCTGTCAGTATGGGAATTAATGGCATAAAGCGGTCGCGTGTTTCGACAGGTTTAACCCTGAGCTCAACTACCTACTACCAAAAACCTGAGAAAATTGTTAAGAAATATATGATTATCCGTAACTGACGTCAGTGGACAAAAAACCCCACAAATGACCATACAAGGAATTAACGAAGGTGAAATCATATTAACAAGCCTTATATGGATAACATTTCTATTTTAAAAGAGGGAGAGATTAAAAGACTTTTGAATTAGATGTAATAAACTAGGGGCAACCATCAGAAATAAGAGTTCATCAGCACATTATCAGTCGATAAATTTAAACATACTAAAAAACAGTATGAACAATTGGAGAAGAGTTATCAGTGCGACCACCAGGAACTATTATCAAAACAAACCACCGCACTCGGTATCTTACGTAATGTTTCGTTAACGAAAAATGACAAGAAATGAACATGACAGTGTTGTCAACAAAGGAATACTAGCAAGTGTACCTGATAAGTCACTTAAGGTGTATAAATGGCAGGAACAGCCGAACCGAACAAAAAGTAGCTGCATACCTGTATAAATGCATTGAATTATAGCATCTGTAATGCATTATTTAATTACTTGGGGAATGATGTATCGTGTCTACGGCATGAAATTTATGAGACAAACCTTAAATTTATGAAACTACCACACATCTCTGCCTCTCCGAGTAAACAGACTAAATTAATGAAGCCATTTAGGCAAGCAATAAGATATTTAAATAACCTTGATCATAATGACCGACAAAGTACTAACGAACACGAAGCCATCAAAGTCATAACAAAGCTGAAGGGTAGATACATGGCAATTTAATTCAAAATTTTGTAAAAATTTAAAGCAAACTACCACCTAACGAGTAACAGTTCGTAACAATGGAGACGAGAAATATATAAACTGTTAAGATGTCTAACTCTATTCACTTACTAACTTGAATATAACATAAGAGTGACACAAATGTAATAAGAGCTTTCTGCATGTAGACAACAAAGTCACTTAAAGCGCATTGCATGCGAAAATTCGTTAGATGAAAATAAAAAAGGATTTAGTCAGCAAACGTTTAATACTATAAGTCGAATGCAAGGGAAGTTTCCATTGATGAAATCACGCGCAGGTGAGAATTTTTTAAAAGAAAACCAATTGATACTTAATGAGAATAATATTTTCTTTCAAATGGTAAAAGCAAAGTGCTGTACGATACGTTAGGGAAGTTAGCGAACTTGGAATCAATTCAAACAACTAACGGCATCCTCAGAACATAGAGTTATTTTAAGCAACGAGATACAAATGAGTTCCTAACAGTCTTTCGTACAAATGTGCAGTAATTCAAGTCGCAACATCCCATATAACTTGAAAAGGTTGGGACGAATTCGATGTAACATTGATGAACGGAAATGCATGGGATTTAAAATAATTACATAAAGATTACTCAGGGTTCAACTGATCACGGTAGTGCTAGCTGTCTTGTTACTTGATTTATTTAACAGGTGTCATGTTTTTAATATGGTCAAGTAGGGTTCACAGTTACAGATCTTCAGTAGTTATTAGTCAGTAGGTGTTTAGAACATCAAAATAAACATTGGAAACTAGTAGCAGCACACTCATACAATGGCTAGCATCAAGGCTTTCAAGGTTGAGACTCCTAAGAATAGTTGGAAACTTTAAAATGTGATGTAATATCAGACACAGAGAAGTAATAAATGCATCTAGAAAACCACTTACAAAAAACGATACATGCAGCGAATATTAGCGAAACAAAAAGAAAAAGAGTCAAACTTACTCTGCAAACAGCTCCTGATCCTCTGTAATATTGTTAGGATTTAAGAAACTTGTCGGTGTAACTGGTGTCGAGCCATTATTACCGAGATGACCAAGTAGCTTCTCGAAATCCGATGTGTCTACACCTCGCACAGTCCAAAGTTGTTGAGAGGTTTCCTGAGAGACAGCACTACGATGTGATAAAGAGCAATTCTTGAACTCAGTTAGGTTTTCAGTATTCGACAAACATAATCCTAAACTGGTTGGCCTATTGGTAGACTGCATTTTAGAAATGTCAGAGTTGGTATACTGCGTTATCACTTGCAGAGGCCTAGTAGATGTCACAGCACTACTATTTTGAGCAAGAGATTCGTCACATTCGTTATTTGGCATTAGGAAACTCGTGTCATCGAAGATCTAAAGCACCCCCAGACGAAGCGGAAACAAAGAAAGCGCTTTGTGCGCACAAGGACAACTGTTTGTCTCCCACTGGAAATGATGAGTCAGCGTTATCACCACCAGCCAATCAGACTGAGGATTACGCCTGAAGTAAAAACAAGTAATTCACTTAAACAAATTGAGTTTGTCCAAATGTGCAAAAATGATACCAGTCGGAAATTTTTAATCTTCACTAAGTAAATTATAGCACTGAGGCAAGCTAAGCTCTAAGCGCCTTTAACTTCCAATCAGCGAATGACCTCGAATGGCACAATGAGGCTCATGCACGCGAGTTCAAGGTCATATTGCTCTTGATTCGTATCAGATGTCTGCTCTAACAAAGTTACGCTTTCAGTCCGATGTGGATAAGCTTAAGGAGAACTGGCTGGATCTGGGGTTGCTTAGGAAGGTGAGAATTTGTTTTTCGCAGGTGTCATGAGCTTAAAAATCACTAGCATGTCGATTGATGGATGTTTGCAATTTGCTTGAGACAAGTTAGTATTTGGAAAGGCAGGCCTATCATTTTACTATTTCTTCAGAACATATTTGCCAGGTCGCATCTCTCCCTAACCCAGATTTTGTATATTTGTAAATACTCGGTCTTAAAACTTCTTGCGAGGGGCGCAGCTGCCGAAACTGAAAATAGCCTCGTGTCAACCGTTCAGTAGTACCAGCACTGCCTCATGGAAATTGTAGACAATTACTTCGTTGTTAGGCGGAGAAGATGTCGTCATACACGTGGACGAAACTGCCTTACTGAAGAAAAATACATTCGTAGTTGTCAACGAGCCAACAATGTTTGGGTGGTTGGTTTATATGACACCTCCCTGCAGAAAGGATTGGTGAAGAGAAAAACGGACACACAGTCTAATAACTTAGTGCCAATTTTCACTTGATGGTGAAACGGTGATCTATAGTAGATATTGATGTATGCAAATGTTATAGCTCGCTGTCATGCCTTGGATAAATTCATCACAGAGTGAACAATTCTGGTGATTTTGTGGATCCAATTACGGAGACTCTCGAATTCTATAGAAGAATTTCGGGGAAGATTGAAAATAGGATTAGGGCCATAAATGGATCTCAAAAAGATGTCATTTGTAATCATTTGAATGAACATATGTACAGAATTCGGTGTGACTTTTCCACTGACACTCCTGTGCTAAAGAGGGAGATGTTTCTGTCAAATGTTAGAGAAAGATACGCTATGTAACAGTTTTATTAAATTTTTCTTGCTTTTTTCATGAACGTGCGTTTTCCCTAATTAAAATTCTGTACTTCATGTGGTTAGCTCGTTGAAGATCGTTCGCCGATTAGTTGTTACTGGTGCTTAAAAGTTTAACTTTGCCTAGCAATGAATATTTAACAGCAATTTATTCCGGTTGACGACGA